TAATAGAATTTGATAACAAAAAAATTATACCAGAATTTGTTCATGGTTTATCTTCCTAAATTTGTTTGAATTATGTCAATCAAATTAAAAAATATATATTTATTTAAAATTAGTTTTAAAAAATTAAAATTTCATTTTATGCTTTAATTATTTTTCTTGACAGTTTTCCTTATTTAAAAATAGACTCAATACTAAAGCACTTTAAAATCCAAATTGTTTAAGTAGACATTTAGTAATGTTGATTTGTTCCTAATTTAAGCCTCTCTGGGGGACTCATATGCTGAACTATTTCATTGCCAATAGTTACCTCCTTGGTAATGTTTGCAATTTCTTCCTCCTCCAATATTTTTCTTTAATTTCTCTATTACTCATCAAATCATTTTTCAGATTTGGTTGGTTTTCGATTTTGGTGATATTAATTTGAGTCATAAAATTTGTCAGCGGTGGATTTTAAACCCAACGAATAGTTATTAAAGTTTATGAGGTATTTAAAAGGCCCGTTGGATTAAATATCGGATTGGTCCACGAGAATGTGAACAAGCAACTTGTGAAATATTTTTGTATTAGCATGACACTAAATTGAAATAAATAGTTATCGGAAAGAAAGTACTAATTAAACAAAAAACTAATAGCATTATTTTCATTGTTACAATTGTTTGACTAAAAGAGCGGTCATTAATTAATGTATAAAACATTTCGTAAGGGTTGACATGACATGTAAAATAAATGGCGTTTGTGTAATTGAGGATTTAATTTCCTCTTACACCATACAAAGTCACAATGAAGAGTAATTTTCACTTTGTAATACATCCAATTATAAAGATTAATTTGTTGCTTGTTAGGAAATATTTATAAGATTTTACGTTAAGTTTTTTAATAATATTTAAAAGAGTATTGTCAAATGTTTCTATTTACCTAATGGTTTTACAACCTAAAATAATTTAAATACTCCTTTCACTTTTTTAAGGATATTGTGACAAAATTTCAGTTTCCAAAATCGACAATATTTTGAATGTATGATGATTGATGTCACTCAACAAACTTGGAATCGGAACATTGATGTTTACCGTGAGGTTGATAATGGAACAATTGGTTTCTTAAGTCCTCCATTGAAGATGATCAATCATTTCTTAGACCTCAACTAAGGGTTTATGTTTCTATTACACCAAATAGTCTCACATCACTAAGAGTTGAAGCTTAAACAATTTAAATATTTATTTCACCTTTCAAAACATATTTTAAAAACAAAGCTTTAACAGAACTCCAATCTCCAAAACAATAATACTTTGAATCTATAATAATTAACCCTAAAAATATCATTTAACGAATTTGGGATCGCACCACACAAGATTAATTATGTTAAATTATTCTTTTTCTTTCAATCCCTAAACACCTTAATCTCCTTCCTCCTTACTTTCAAAAGTGATAAATTCCAAATAAAATAAAATAAAAATCAAGTTGTAAAGATAATTGAAATTTAGATGGTGATTTAAGTTGTTCAATAAAGTAATGTGGACTTGTAGTCAATGCTAATATGTTTTAGCAACCTAAATCTGACATTAGTTTGCATTAGTTAATGATGGACTTGCTAGTGTCCTTCTATAACCTCCACTTTGTCTTACTCATGGTACGTGTTTTCTCCACAAACTTTTTTAAGACATCAGTGTCAATTTTATAACTCTAAGTTGTCGGCAATTTTTTCAATACAATGCATTAATTTTGGGCATTACTATAGCGTAATGCCAATATTTGATAAAAACAAGTTAATATTTGATAAACTAATAAATAATAATTCATTGTGTCAATGAAACATACCTCCATAAGAGAGGTTAGTATTATTGTGGTGTAGGTACATTTCTGATCTTTATCTAATCTTATACTTCAAAAGATAATGGTTGTTCGATCTTATTTTTTTTGTCTGTCTCCACTCTATCGGTTTCCTATTCATCATTTATTAATGTATATTTAATAAGAAAATTCTGATATTGTCGTTAAATTTTTTTAATTACTTTTTAATAAACGAATATTACACTAATAAATACAGTAAATCACACAGTAAACAGGAAATATTAATATCAGAACAATTATAATATATTATGCTATATAAGAGTACAAAATCCTCTTCCTACTCCTTGGATAGAATAATTATATTTATAGAAATTTGAAAATAATGTTCTTAGTATAGATGTAAAATTTTATATATAAGTTAGATAAGTAAGGTGGAATTAAAAATAAAATTTACTTTTTAATATATCATCAAATTCTATTAAAATGAAGTATGTTGGGTTTATTGTGTCAGCTATGTTAATAAACTATTGATAAATATATCTAGTTTCACACTTGAAATATCATATCTTCAATGTACCAAATTGTATAGATTTCACGATGATTTAAGATGATTATAAATCAGAAAAAAAAAATTTCTAACTTATAGGACAGTTTTGTTTTTTCTTTTTCATTTTATCTTGAACTAGATTTAAAACACACTAGTTGACCTAGTTGGTGGAGTTTGGTGAAAAAAACATAAATAGGAATATCTAGGTTAATTTTGGTGTATGCAATGTTACCAGAAGTGGTCAAATGGTACGAGGGAGTGAGTGTCTGATCAGTATCGGAGTGAATGAAAGAGAGATCCTGGCTTATGTTGGGATTAAATCTTTACTTAGTTAATGGTGCGATAATTGATAGAAAAGTTGTTGTGCCTTTGCGCGGTGATCAAACAGAGTTTGGGGACTAGGATTGGATTGGTAAAATATAAGACTATCCAAAAGAATGCTACTTTAGAGAATTGATAACGAAGTTGTGATTGATATCAACATTAGGGATATACATGTGTGTCTGACCCAAACGTTAAACATTGTACGAGTACTAGGTAGAGAGTACATGTGTTAATTTGAAGATATATATATATATATATCGTTTAAAACATGGAATGGTGTTGTGGCAGAGAGATAAAACGATGATCGCTCTCGTTGTTTGGACATGTTATGTGGAGGAGTAGGCAAGGAGGACCACCATATCCAAAAACAATAAGTGAAATTACCGTAACGAAATTGATGGACAAACGAATTGGACAGGCAGCATCAAGAACAGTATAGAGTGTGGAGTATGTAGATATTCAAAACGGTAGAGCTCGATGTTCTGGTGTTACTATTATTGTTGTTGTGATGATTATGAATGTGTGATTGGAAATATTGCAAAGTGTGGCGGGCGAAGAATAGTGAGTGACACTCGAAGAGTTTAATTAAACACATAGATAGGACACCCACCCTTAATTATTATTCCAACTAATTTGGACAAAAGTTGATCGATCCACGGTCAGCAACATATGCCTGCTATTTATTCAAGACTTAATTGTTGCTGTTGGTGAATCATGGTCACATCAAAGCAACAGAGCAGTGAAGTGAAATAATTGGTAATAAGAGAAATAGTGAAGCGTGATTGGAAGAGGTCGATATGCACATGGGACGGTGGGGGGCTCCCATTTAGGTCTACCGGTACTTGTCCACATCTATGAAAATTGAAAAATTAAAAGCTGGGTGCCTTCTTTCTGTGTTTGCTTACGTGTACGTGTGTGCATGAATAATAACAATAATGCTAACACAATTACAAGTTTAAACGGGGGGCTGCATCTTATGGACTTTTTCAAAAATCTCCCTCCAGCTTTCACGATCCATCAGATCGTGAAAGATACGCTATTTCATGCTTCTTCGTTTAATGGATGTCACTGTCACGACCCACCAACCATGGGCTTCATCCCTATGCCTCAGGCCCAGTCTGTTCTACCTCTTGGGCCCCACGTTACCCCTATTGTCTTCTCCTTCGGTCCCACCACCGTCTCCACCTATTATTGCCTCTCTACTCTGCAATCAACTACTTAGCTTTTCCTTTCACGCTTTTAAGGAACAAATGTGAAACCCAATTCATCGTTCATCCAAAACACGCCATTAACACAACATTCACACTTGTTAGTGTTCCATGAATTAATTTTCAGAGTTAAATATATAGTATATTTGTGGATGACTTTACTTTAAGCTATATGTTTTTTATTTTATGTTTAAAAATTTAAATGTTTAAATTATTCTATAATAATCACATTTCCTAACTAATTATGATGCTTTATTTTATATGAAGATATTATGTATTCTGAAACGCATTCTGTAAAATATAGTTTGGTTTTACAAAACGAACATCGTATTTTTATTTAGTTTTATATAATATTAACATTTATATATCATGTCAATGAATTTATGCCTCTGGCCTTTTTTTTTTTAATATTATCGAACTTTAATTGAATTTGGTTCAAATTGAAAAAAAAAAAATCAATCCAAACTCGTTAAATTTAGATGAATTCTCGGATGAAAAAACTGATTAAATCTGTTGCAGTGGAAATAAGAAGAAGAATCACTTAAATTATATTTATGAATTTTTACGATATCATTTGGTTTTTTATATATATTTGAAATAAAGAAAGTGCTATAAAAAGGTTAAATCTGGCTAAACAAGGGGTAAATGTAGAAAAATTAAATTCGCTTGGATGCAAATAAAGCCCAACCCACTAAGAAAACAAGACAAAGAATTCCTGCACCTATCAAATTTCTTGGTGCACTCTATGAAAAGTATCGTAATAAAAATAGGATGATTGTCTATAAAAAAATTTCCAGAATTATTTTAATGTGTTCCGAAAAAATGAATTTCGAGGAATAATAGGGTGTAGGATATGGGCCAAGATGTATAATTTTAAATTATGAGATGTTATAACAGGTGTACGTTTTTTTATTTAATTTTCACACTTTTTCTTATATGTTTAACTTTTTTCACAAAAATACCTAATTTTTTGTTAGATCAACATGTCAAATAAAAGTACATTTTTGTTGTGCACAGCGAATTCGTCCACCCTGTTTTTGTTTATGAAATTAGTATATGTTGTTTTACTATGGTCATAATTTGTTCAAGATATTTTCTTAAAAAAGGAAAAAGTTGTGACCTTGAGGGAATGAAAATAAGGAAGAAAAAAAAAAAGACAGAGAGAGTGATGAAGCACAGTACGTGGCAACCTGCACTTGTTCTTCTCTTCCATTCCCAATGAAAATTCTCGTCGTTAATTTGCGATAATTCTTTGTCTGAAATTGGTAAGAAAAAACGTGTAATCAATCAGAAGAAAAGAGAAAGATGGAGCTGTGGAACAGAGCCCGAAGCTTTGCGGAAGAAGCAGCGAAACGATCGAATGATCTGTCCTTGGGAGCTTCCAAATTGAGCGATATCATTACAGAGACCACCAAAGAGATAGCGGCACAAGCTTCCAAGCACCTGACCCAACCTTCGCTCATAAACGACGTCGATCTCCACCGTTTTGGCATCACCGAAGAGTTGAGAGAATTCGTCAAAGGGATCACCATCACTACCTTTGAAGATTTCCCCCTTGAAGGTCTTTTCTTTACCTTTTATTGTTTCTATGGATTGACATTTGCTTCGTTTTAGTGAGAAATGGAAATTAGACTACAGAGTGAAGATAGTTTGCAATTTGTGTCATATTCTAAAGTGAAAATGGGGGCATTTTATTCTCTACCATTTATTTTTTGTTATTTAAAATCTGTTTTAAATGATTTTTCTTTCCAAAATTTCCGTCATTATCAAACACTAATAATTCATTACAAATGCTACCTACCAAGTTTGAATTCTGTATCATTCGGCTGCTACTTTCCTTTATTTCACGGGAGGATCTTATCGCAGTTTTGGTTCTCATCTATTTTCAGATGATACGGAGTTTTCTGANATATATATATATATATCGTTTAAAACATGGAATGGTGTTGTGGCAGAGAGATAAAACGATGATCGCTCTCGTTGTTTGGACATGTTATGTGGAGGAGTAGGCAAGGAGGACCACCATATCCAAAAACAATAAGTGAAATTACCGTAACGAAATTGATGGACAAACGAATTGGACAGGCAGCATCAAGAACAGTATAGAGTGTGGAGTATGTAGATATTCAAAACGGTAGAGCTCGATGTTCTGGTGTTACTATTATTGTTGTTGTGATGATTATGAATGTGTGATTGGAAATATTGCAAAGTGTGGCGGGCGAAGAATAGTGAGTGACACTCGAAGAGTTTAATTAAACACATAGATAGGACACCCACCCTTAATTATTATTCCAACTAATTTGGACAAAAGTTGATCGATCCACGGTCAGCAACATATGCCTGCTATTTATTCAAGACTTAATTGTTGCTGTTGGTGAATCATGGTCACATCAAAGCAACAGAGCAGTGAAGTGAAATAATTGGTAATAAGAGAAATAGTGAAGCGTGATTGGAAGAGGTCGATATGCACATGGGACGGTGGGGGGCTCCCATTTAGGTCTACCGGTACTTGTCCACATCTATGAAAATTGAAAAATTAAAAGCTGGGTGCCTTCTTTCTGTGTTTGCTTACGTGTACGTGTGTGCATGAATAATAACAATAATGCTAACACAATTACAAGTTTAAACGGGGGGCTGCATCTTATGGACTTTTTCAAAAATCTCCCTCCAGCTTTCACGATCCATCAGATCGTGAAAGATACGCTATTTCATGCTTCTTCGTTTAATGGATGTCACTGTCACGACCCACCAACCATGGGCTTCATCCCTATGCCTCAGGCCCAGTCTGTTCTACCTCTTGGGCCCCACGTTACCCCTATTGTCTTCTCCTTCGGTCCCACCACCGTCTCCACCTATTATTGCCTCTCTACTCTGCAATCAACTACTTAGCTTTTCCTTTCACGCTTTTAAGGAACAAATGTGAAACCCAATTCATCGTTCATCCAAAACACGCCATTAACACAACATTCACACTTGTTAGTGTTCCATGAATTAATTTTCAGAGTTAAATATATAGTATATTTGTGGATGACTTTACTTTAAGCTATATGTTTTTTATTTTATGTTTAAAAATTTAAATGTTTAAATAATTCTATAATAATCACATTTCCTAACTAATTATGATGCTTTATTTTATATGAAGATATTATGTATTCTGAAACGCATTCTGTAAAATATAGTTTGGTTTTACAAAACGAACATCGTATTTTTATTTAGTTTTATATAATATTAACATTTATATATCATGTCAATGAATTTATGCCTCTGGCCTTTTTTTTTTTAATATTATCGAACTTTAATTGAATTTGGTTCAAATTGAAAAAAAAAAAATCAATCCAAACTCGTTAAATTTAGATGAATTCTCGGATGAAAAAACTGATTAAATCTGTTGCAGTGGAAATAAGAAGAAGAATCACTTAAATTATATTTATGAATTTTTACGATATCATTTGGTTTTTTATATATATTTGAAATAAAGAAAGTGCTATAAAAAGGTTAAATCTGGCTAAACAAGGGGTAAATGTAGAAAAATTAAATTCGCTTGGATGCAAATAAAGCCCAACCCACTAAGAAAACAAGACAAAGAATTCCTGCACCTATCAAATTTCTTGGTGCACTCTATGAAAAGTATCGTAATAAAAATAGGATGATTGTCTATAAAAAAATTTCCAGAATTATTTTAATGTGTTCCGAAAAAATGAATTTCGAGGAATAATAGGGTGTAGGATATGGGCCAAGATGTATAATTTTAAATTATGAGATGTTATAACAGGTGTACGTTTTTTTATTTAATTTTCACACTTTTTCTTATATGTTTAACTTTTTTCACAAAAATACCTAATTTTTTGTTAGATCAACATGTCAAATAAAAGTACATTTTTGTTGTGCACAGCGAATTCGTCCACCCTGTTTTTGTTTATGAAATTAGTATATGTTGTTTTACTATGGTCATAATTTGTTCAAGATATTTTCTTAAAAAAGGAAAAAGTTGTGACCTTGAGGGAATGAAAATAAGGAAGAAAAAAAAAAAGACAGAGAGAGTGATGAAGCACAGTACGTGGCAACCTGCACTTGTTCTTCTCTTCCATTCCCAATGAAAATTCTCGTCGTTAATTTGCGATAATTCTTTGTCTGAAATTGGTAAGAAAAAACGTGTAATCAATCAGAAGAAAAGAGAAAGATGGAGCTGTGGAACAGAGCCCGAAGCTTTGCGGAAGAAGCAGCGAAACGATCGAATGATCTGTCCTTGGGAGCTTCCAAATTGAGCGATATCATTACAGAGACCACCAAAGAGATAGCGGCACAAGCTTCCAAGCACCTGACCCAACCTTCGCTCATAAACGACGTCGATCTCCACCGTTTTGGCATCACCGAAGAGTTGAGAGAATTCGTCAAAGGGATCACCATCACTACCTTTGAAGATTTCCCCCTTGAAGGTCTTTTCTTTACCTTTTATTGTTTCTATGGATTGACATTTGCTTCGTTTTAGTGAGAAATGGAAATTAGACTACAGAGTGAAGATAGTTTGCAATTTGTGTCATATTCTAAAGTGAAAATGGGGGCATTTTATTCTCTACCATTTATTTTTTGTTATTTAAAATCTGTTTTAAATGATTTTTCTTTCCAAAATTTCCGTCATTATCAAACACTAATAATTCATTACAAATGCTACCTACCAAGTTTGAATTCTGTATCATTCGGCTGCTACTTTCCTTTATTTCACGGGAGGATCTTATCGCAGTTTTGGTTCTCATCTATTTTCAGATGATACGGAGTTTTCTGATGTTCCTGCGATTTCAAATGTCAGGCAGGATCTAACCGATTGGCAGGAAAAACATGCCGGTCTTGTTCTTTCTACCGTCAAGGTAGCATTTGCTGTGTTTCTGTGAATCAGAATGTTATCAAAGCTGTGCATGGCATGGCTGCTTTTATTAATATTAATGCGCCGCGTGTTTTCGCAATGCTTTCATTAAATTTAAGAGAGGCACCTTATCACATGCAAATAATGTTTGGCTTAGAAGTACTGATTACTTTTATTTAAGGAGTTTAGTTTTAGATTCTTAGACATTTTTTTTTTTAAATCAATCATATTAACTTGAAAACTTGACATGTCTTGGATATTATTAGTATTCTACACCACCTCACACAAGAGGAGAAAGAGAAAACGAGAGGGGAAAGGAGACCGGAGAGAAAAATGAATCTAATTAACAGAATTGAATGATCTCAGTTTATTAGAATATGTACATACTATGCTATTAGAATACACCAGAAAGAATGAAAAATTAGTTACAGCTTAACAGGCTAATCTTGAAGTCCACTAATAGAATTAGTTATATGTAAGATTCACATGGGATCAGTGGGAATTTCATCCTTATTGTCTAGTAAGGTCCCAAAAGCCGGAGTATGTATATGATACAAGTTTGACTTGGACAAGTTCTCATGATAGAAACATGAATGTAGAAGTTTTGTCAACATACCAACCACTTGGGCAGGGAACCGAATTGAATCCCAAATTGACGGGTTAGTGTGAACTTATCCATGCGGAGTAAAAAATGAATAAGACCTTCTTGAAGCTTTCTCAGAATAAAATGAGAGTCAACTTCTATATGTTTTGTTTGACAAAAAAAGAGTAGAAATCTCTCTGTACAAATCATTACACAAATACTGTGACTACTGTAGGTCACACACAAGCAATTCAAGAGCTCTATACTCTGTCTCCATAGAAGACCCGGACATTGTTGCTGTCTTTTCAGATTTCCAGGGAAATAAAAATATTTCCCATGAACACACAATGATCGGTCACTGACCTTCTGGAGTTAATGCAAGTACCCCAATCAGAAAATCCTTTGATAAATAGTTGATTATCACTTATGAAAAATAAACAAAGTCCTGGATATCCTTTTAGGTATCTTAATATACACGTTGAGCTGCTGTTGTATGATGTTCTCGTGGGACTAAAACAAATTTACTTAGCTTGTGAATTGCAAAACTAAGGTCAGGCCTAGAGCGAGTAAGATGTAAAAGGCATCAAATTAACCTTCTGTATTCACAAGATTGGAAGTGACCCTTATTCATCATATAAATGACAAGATGGCTCTATAGGAGACGCGGCAGGTGTGCAGCTAAGAAACCACTATGAGAGAGCAGATCTAAGCAATATTTTTGTTGGTGATGAACAAGTCGCGAGGATGAGCGACTTATTTCAAACCAAGAAAATATGTGAGTACCAAAATCTTTGATGCTGAATGAGTAGTGAAGATGAGACTTAACATGTTGAATTTCTGGAACATCATCACCTGCCAATACAATATCGTCAACATATACAAGCAAAGTTATAAAGCAACGACCAGTTTTGCAGACAAATAAAAGATTATCACCTGAACTTTGAACGTAACCAAGGTGAATCAATGTCTAGGTTAGTTTTGAATTCCTTTGCTCGCTAGCCTGTTTTAACTCGTACAAATTCTTTCTAAGTTTACAAACTTGTTTTGGACGTGAAAGAAGACCAGGAAGGAAGCGGAATCATGTAAATTTTTTCATGGTTGTCTCCATCAAGAAAAGTGCTATTCACATCTAACTAATGTAGAAACCAGGGCTTAGCACATGCCTTTAGCAAAATAAATTAAATGGCAGTAATCTTTACAACTAGAGAGAATGTCTCAATGTACTAAAGACCTTTGGTCGGAGTATAGCCCCTGGCAATCAAATGGCTTTTTATATATCAATATAGCCATTGTTTTATGGTTAGCTATATCAAACCATTTACTCCCAATAGGGTGCTTCCCTTGAGGCATATCCACTGAAGACCGAGTTTGATTACACTCAGGAGCTGAAAGTTCGTGATGCATTGCTTCTTTCCAACAATGATGTTGAAGAGTTTCTTCAAAGGGTTCAGGCTCTTGGATAGATAGAGGAACTATTAATTGAAAGATGAATATGTTGAAGAATGACTACGACAATAAA